TTTTTTTTTTCTTTATTAAATTGACAATTTCTTATGAACATTTCTTTTTTTAGCCAATGTGGAATGTCATGAAATGCCCTCCACAAACTGATTATCAAACAAACAAACTATCAAGACCTAACAAATATGCACATGAAGTCATATTAATTATCCTAAAAACACCAGAGATCACAATGATTGGTTAAATATAGACGTTACTAATACATTAAACTTAACAAAACAAAAAAAAACCAAGTCCAGTTCACTAATCAAGTAGCAGCTGTTTCAACAAAGTTTAATATATACCCCGAGTCCAAAAAAAAGAGAACAAATTTAGAATATCATCAAAATTAGTAACGCTTCATTACAAACACACCATCTGCCAATCACTGCATGAGCAAACTAGGGTTGTATCATATACACAAAAGATTCTTTGGCAAACAACAGTGGGAAAAACTATTCACATTTAAAATGAATGGCCATTTCAATGTGCTATATACAACAAACATGATTGCAAACAATAAAACTACGTCCTCCAAGAATATGAGGTGTTACTGTACAAAATCTAATACTGATGAAATGATTACATCACAAATTTCGACTTTGCAAGTAAACTGTATTAATATAACCTGGTATTTACATTTTCTACAAGATTACTATCTCCTCTTCTCAGCAAAGAATGAATCGATTTGATGGCTTCACCACCAGTAAACCTGCGAATGATAAATACATCACGTCATTCAGTTTTGAAAACAAATAGGAGGCATCGTGAAGCCTGACACGGATGACCAGCGAAAAAAAGAAGTAAAAGAAAAAAGAGAATTAAAATAAAGAGCTAAACTTGTTACACAATGACCTATTTATAGGCATCCAAGAAAACCCTTAAGAAGTTTTCAAAATAAAAATTACCATAATTAAAGACTAACAAAACAACAAAACCTATTAAAACATAAATAAGAAAATAAGATCAAATAAATCCCTACTCTTCATCCGATTCCTTCTCGTTTCCCCTCACATTGATTGTCATTATAAAATAAATAGCATAGCTGGTAAGTAACAAGATTACTTTTGAGGTGCTGGGAAACACGAATCCTAGAATAGTATCATTTTATCTGTAAATTTGAAGCATTGGCAGCGATCTTAGATGATCTAAGACTTTAACGGTAAACTTTGAAGATAGAAATCAACATTATCTTCATCAGAAAACTAGGAATCTCAGTCATTGACAGCCATTGAAAGAATAGTATCAGATGTTTCCTCTTGTAAAGAGAATACGGATTCAGCATCTGCACCGTCAAGATCCTCAAGCTGAGACAACTGGCTGACTAATTTGTCTTAGAGGAACTTCTTCTGGATCCATGGAGGAGCATACTTACATTAGATAATTTATAATCAGAATATTCATCTTAGGGACCAGTGTACTCTTAAGAATAGGAGGCAGCACACGTGTGAGGCTGAGAAGGAATAAAATCAGATGGACAGTCCAGCAATATATATATATATTTTTTTTTTGTTGGCAAGTCAGTCTAGCAATAGCTTTGCATTATTGAAATAAACAGAAGATGCTGAAATAAAATTGTGCTTAAACTGTTAGCACAGGAAATAAATAGTCATGTATTTTACTATCATTATAATTTTTCCCCTGGTGTGCTTACCAGAAAAAAACATATGAATCCCCCTTCTCTGGCGACCAGATGGATTTATATTCCAAATCACTTGGCTTTAGGCATGTTGCATTGAGCTTGCACATTCTGTAGGAGCTTCAACTTACATGATACAGTCTCCACAGTGGTAACCAAAAGGGGGGCTTCAGAATGATATTTTGTTTTCTTCTTGGTGTTTTTCTGTTGTGAGAAACAGAAGTTCTAAATAGATTCACTTGTGCATTTAACCCTCTGCACATGAAATGTAATGAAATAAAGGTAAATTTCATAATCATAATGTGCAGTCTAAATAGGAAATGAGAAAATCATTCGTTAAAGTAAATGCAGTTAGCCATCAGAATAATTGATACCCGTTAATTTTCCCGAGGCTGAGTAGCACCCAAATACTTTTCAATCGACTCCTTCTTGTGTTCAGGATCAAGACTGCAAATACAATACCAGTATTAAGGTTAGGTCACAGATATTGACAAGTTCAAATGCAGAGATAAGAAACGCCAACACTTCTAAGAAAATAGCAGTGTCGTGTCCAACACCGAGATGACATTACACTCATTAAACACTTCTCAACACCGCATGTCCAAACATGTTCTACTATTTTTAAAAAATTTCTAAACTCGGACACACTTTAGACACTTGAGAAACATGTGTCTATCACTTAAAACACACATGACACACATTATAAGTTTGAATAAAAAAAATTAGAATCCAATAATAAAAGAAAAACAAGGTAAATTTATACCTGCTTTCTACCTTTAGACTTTAAAAATAATCATTTATGAACTAAATATTCATATATATGACATAATTTCCTACATCATATATGCCCTATAATAAATATATAAAATTATATATTTTATGTCCCCCAAGTGCCATGTCCTACATTTTTTTTTTTTTGAAAACTTCTATGTTGTTGTATTAGTGTCGTGTCACATGCCCATGCTGCTTAAAAGTGGAGGGATGCCAAGGCAGCATCACACACACAGGGAGGAGCTGACCTGTTCCTGACACCAAGAAGAGCACAATGAAAAGCACGTGCAGCAGCAGAAGCTGGAGCTATGACGGCTGCTGGAGCTGCCTGAACAGCAGTTGCTATTGCAGATCCTGCACCAGCACCACGCTGATATCTTTTCAAGGGAGTTCGAACTAAAGCAGAAGCAGTTTTGCCGAGGCCATCACTGATACTTTCATAAGCCTATCAAATTAAGAACATCAAAGTGTTATTTGGAGAAAATGCACACAAGCCACCCACCCACCACCAAGACAGCACATAGAGATGTGAAGAAAACCTCAAAAATAAATATAAATAAATAAATAAAAGAAAAAAGAAAAAACAAATGAACCCAAAGAAAAGAAGGGACACTTGTGTTGAAAACCCAACATGCTTGACATGTAAAATTGCAGCCATTAAAAATCAATTTTCCTCATATCTCCACAATATACAAACATGTGTTGATCAATTACCAAGATTTGAAATAACTGCCAATCAGAACATAAGTGATATTTTAAAATTCAGTTTTACAAGCAAGACAATGCAGGTTGGAAGTTCACCTGTTGAATTCCTTGTTTGGCATTTTTGGGCTGATTAGATCTCACATTAGTTTTTGTTCTGCTTTGTACAGGCCATTGTACAGATGGTGGAATGCTGGTAAGAATATATTCTGCTTGGAGTAGGATTTCATGAGCCCCCGCTGCCAAATGTACTCCCAGCCCAACAGCTTCAATTGAAATACTTTTAAGAAATGCAATTGTACCTGGAAAGGATATAGCTGGGTCATCATTATATAATATAAAAACCTATTCAGTGAAAGCTATAGGAGGTCAGAAGTTATCCACTTAACCATGGTTGGAGAGGACAGGGTTCACAAGGACTTGCAATTAGTGCAAAAATATAGGTATACTAGCAGTCATTGGAATTTGGAAAGATCGGTTGATCCTTAGTTAAACAGAGCAAAAATTATGATCTGAGATAACAAAGCATATTATTCCTTTTTCCACACAAACACAATGATTAGACTTAAAAAACAAACGAAGCCTAGAGATGCCACCATAAACTTGCAATCAGACCCGATAAAAGACATGTACACAAATCAGAGCACACAATATATATGGGAACCAATAAGTGGGATCCTCACATAATGCATTCAAAGCTTCACCCACAGAATGCATGTCATTGCCAATATTTCACTAACCTAAGACGCTAACATTATGGTATTTCCACACGACACCAAAGCCACTACTTTGCCTTGCCACTAGCCACTACTAGCTGCACCAGATACGGAGCCTCAGTAATGTGATAACAAAACTGTCATGACAAATGTGCTAAGAGAGCTTTAAGCATGTAAACAATTTATAGACAAGAAAAAAGGAAATTGCAGAATGGCTCTTGCATGCTTCTAGTTTAATAAAAAAATATATTCTCCTGTCGAAATAGTTTAAAGTTCTTAAGAAGCACTTGATCAAGCACGTATACCATCGGTAAGTAGGTCGAAAAATGTACCAAGAAAACAAATAATAAAGTCAAAGATAAAATCCATTTCAAAAAGCTAGAGCCATCACTTATCTATTCCAAATTAAGAGAAGTTGTAAGGGTGGTCTGGTCTTGAGATAATACTCATCATCCACATTGAATGCATGACAACTGAATAGAGATGCTAAAAGGGGATTAGGAGGGTTGCACTCAACTAAGTTCCAAATGATAACTTGAAGGATCAATCTACTTTCAAGAGTTTCTTTGATGCCATGAATCTCATAATTCTCATCTAGCTCAACCACAAAAAGGAAGAGAGGCCATCAGACACCTGTTTATGTATATTCAAGCCAAAAAAAATAAAGTGGCTCCCAAGGAAATTTTTTTGCACTGCACACTTCCAACTAATACAATCTTATAAATGAAAATTAATCCTTGAAAGTCCAAATATGCAGAAGGTATTGGTTTTTACAGAAGGAAAACCCATTTTATGGGTGAGATAATTGAATAAATTTAACCATAGACATGAATTACCTCTTTGCATTCCTTTCAGTAGTCTGTGATCCTTCCTGTAGCTATCCACAGGCAAAGAAACCAACTTGGTAGCACCAGAACCAACAGCAACCAATGATCGAATGGGAGGTAGGCCTCGCAACAGTTTATGAATCTATGTTGTACAAAATGTAATCTATAAATATGAGCAGACAATATTGCTTGAATGCCCCAAAGCCTCTCAAGAAGTACTGAGTAAAATTAAAACCTGATTTTGAGAAATATCTTCCAACCACTCCCCTATTATTGTTTCGCATACACTGCTCCAGCCATAGACACCAACGGCATGCACATGCTTAAGTTGTAGTTCAACTCCCTGCACCAGAACTCATATCAATAGGATAGTAGCCCAAAATGTTCGAATACATTGCGCCCAATTACATTTCAAGTGCCAACTCCAAAGAGGGGAAGGGGCGGGGTAAGAGATTGGATACTTTCCAACTTACTATTATTGTATTTAAGAAGGTAATGAACTCACCCACATTAGTTATTAATTTGAAAACAGGAAACCAGGAATTTACCTTCCAAGGAACCAGGTTAACTAGTTCCACATACTTGCCGCCCCTTAATGCTGCTAGGTCAACACCACAGGGAATGTAATCAACACGAACAAGAACAGGCCACATATCAAATTTCTGGAGTAAAATTCAATACCATCAGTAAAATAACCTTTCAGTAACCAGGATACAAGGTATGACTATTATGTACTTGCTGAGTAGTAACTACATCGAAATATAGACAACACACATTGAACAAAGAAGTCACTATTGATTAATTGATCACCATAAAAAAAATAATAATAATAAATAAATAAAATAAAATAAATAAATAAATGAAGTGTCAAATTTTTTCATAATTTACTTTCAAAATGCAGGAAGATTCAGAGTTTGGTAAGCAAGATAAATTAAATTACTTGCCTGAAAATAAGGAAGCAGTGCCTCCTCATTGATGGTATGTCCCCCAAATTTACTACCCCTTTTTTGCGACACTCCCGATTCACTCAAATCCTGGGAAGCATCTGGAGACTGGTCAGACAAGCCATTTCCTCCAAAGAAGCTGGTGAGAAAATCAAGGTGGCTCTGATGAAGATGCAAAAGCATAGGAAGGAAAGCAATCCGTAACCTGAAGAGAGGATTTTGCCCACACAAAAAAGGTATTCTATTAGTTCTTTTGCTTCATTGTTTGTCCACATAGCAATTATTAAACAGGCATCCATGAGGCTGCCACCCTCAACAAGAACATAGGTCCCCTGGGATCATACCTCTAACGAGCATCTACCTGTAATTTTGGTAAACAAGTGGAACAAACCATTACAGAACCCAGTTATAATAACTAAACAGAAAGAGAAATAAACAGGATGCATACCGATACTCCTCAAGAGGGGTCAAAGGATCTGGTCTGACAGCTTCCAAGTCCAGCTTGAATGCTTTCGAAGAAGATTTTCTAGGATGACTCTTTGATTGATAATATCCTAGCACCTTTCAGACAAAAGAACACAATTGTTCAACCCTATTCCAAAGAAAAGTAAGGCAAGAAAGGTAGAAGTCACTTGAATTCCTGCAATTTTAAGCTTACCAGTTTCCATGGTGCATCCCAGCTGTAGTCATTGAGATGAAAATCACGGACTGAGAGAGAAAGGCTGGATATACATACGTTACCATCAGGGTAAATATCATACTTGAATTCCATTCCAGATAATGCAAGCTCAAGACAAATTCTCCTATCCCTTCCATGGATAACTGGAGAATGCTGGACATTTTTCTGAAAGTTGTGCCAATCAGATCCAGCATAGATTCTCCAAAAGACATTAATGTTCTTAAGAAGTACACGCCCCCTCACTTTTTTGTTATCATCAATTTTGTCGCAGTTGCTAGGAGTAGTTTCCTCTGCTACAAGTTGCTGATGACCAGTTTGCCCACTGATATCTGACACATGGTCTTCCAAAATTTTTAATGAGTCATTCCCATACCAACCATTGTTTAATTTTTCAACATCTACCTTCACCATATTTCTGGTGTTGCATTTAAGGATCTCATTTGATGACTGCTTTTCTTGAGACAGCTCTGACAGAGGGCGGAACCCAGTTAAGAAATAGCCTTCTATAAACTCTGGAAAGCTTTTTTGTAACATTGACTGACTACTTTTCAACACATCTAAGGGCACTGAGCTAGCCAAGGACAAATTATCTGGGAAACCATCAGGGTTTCTGGCACTTAAATTACATGCCTCTTCAAAAAGACTATCGTCAACTGAAATACGAAGTTGTGATTCAGAAGAATAAGATAAGCCATTCCAATGTCCATCCAAGTGAAATGCATCTTCACAAATCTCATCCATCAAGTTAACTACACCAGGCTTACTCTTCATATCTAAATGTGAAGTATCCACTTGAGAAGTTGATGGTGCAGCATCACTATTGAAGACCCTATTTCCCTCACTCTCTTGTGCCTTTTGAACATTATTCCACCTTGTCTGCAAATGAACAATTGATTCCTCCACATCAGGGGCAAAAAGCTGTTGGAGTTGAGTAGCCAGATGAATTAGGCCAGAAGTGGTATCATGGCAAGTATCCAGAAAAATATGAGACTCAGAACATTCTAGTTCCCAGGGAAGGCCATTCTTACAATTCACTCTCAAAACTGCTTCAACATGTGCCTCTCGAGCAACTTTAACGTAGCCAGCCTTGTGAAGATGTTCTACACTACATGTGCCACCGACATTCTCAGGTGCAGACACTGCACAAAGAAGTAGCCCTAGATCTTGCACTTTAATTTTGTAGTCACTTTCAACACAATCTGGCACTTTGATAATAGTAAGTTTCAAAGAAGAAGCAGCTAGGAGACAAGCAACATATTGCGTCTGCATTCCTTCATTGGCATCAACTGAGCTGGACTCGGAATCTGGAACTTCGCTAACCATCAAACCTTTTAAGTAGGGCTCATAACTCAAACCAACATCCACCAAATTAAGTACAAAAGAAGATTCAGAAGGTACGCTTTCCACAGAATTCCCCTTATTCAATCTGTTGTCAGCTGATTGTTCAGTTTCAGAAGAGGGCAAACTGAAAAAGGTGGGTATTGTGTCCAACCAGTCCAAGCGACCACCAATTGCAACAATAGTGCCACATCTGATGGTTATAGATGTATAGCTGTGAGAAGTCTCTGGATCCCACAGGTGTATAATATCAGAACCTGACAATTTAGAAGACAATATATTTGAACCTTCTCCATCACCACGCCCTTTTGTAGAGTTGCTACATGAGATCAGAAGAAACTCTTCATCAGGAACTCCAGTAATGGAGCCCCTTAAATTGCCTTCACCATGGGTAACCCAATGAAAAGTGGAACCACAAATCCCGCCTATATCTGAGACTGTTAGCAACTGAAAGTTCTTAATTTGAAGTTTTAAATGATGCCATGAGCCAGGAAGTTCATTCTGGATCGAGCCTTTAATACTCTCTACCGGTTCCAGACTAACAGAAATTTCTGCAGAATCACATTCTACAAGGATTGATGTCTGAGATGCAGAAGAATCATTCCTAACACTGACTGGATCATGCACTATACATGATAAACGATCAATCGCCTGTTGTAAAAGATGGTGTAAGCCCTTATACTGAAAACTGCACAGATTGATCGTAACAGGAGACAAACAAGCATGCAGGACAAATGAAGAGCTCAAAATCATATCTTGCCGTGCACCAGTACTTAAGTCTTCCAAGGCTTCCATATCTTTAACAGTGGTCACAGAAGCAAAGTCATAACCTTTTCCCACAAATCTATTTCTGCTCCTGGAATCCTCTGAAGCAGCTAGAAGCTTGGCACTTTTTACTATTCCAGGACCAGTCACAGACCCCTCCTGCCAAAGCATACTAATAACAGAAAGGTTCCCTCTTCTATTGACGGCAGAGAGAATGTTCTCAGCAAGAAATTTCTGCCTCTGTAAGCCACAGGAGTTACTTCTGACAAAACTATTGGAGGCAGAGGTAATTAAGTAGATGTCAAGGTTGCCCATATTCAAATGCAAGGACTGGGATACTGTCGAAGAATTCCTCTTATAAGCACTAGGAACTGGAATTGAACTAGTGACTTTAACTTTTTTCTCATTCAAAGTCGATGGAGAAGAAAAGTCAAGAGCAATAAACTGATTCCAGGACGAGTAACTTTTAGAATCTCCATCATTCTCAGAAGCGAAACACAATATTACCCTAGCAGTGGGTAGGAATATATTACCAGTCAAAAGCTCTTGTGGAAAAGATCTCGTCAAATAAGGGCAAGAACTCCTTTTCACTTCCCCATGAGATGAAGGGCTACTCTTACTATTGATGCCCTCAGATGCAGAATCATCTCTTGTGCTATTCATTTCAAAGGAATTTCCCACTTCTTTCAAAAGACCCAATACCAAATTTATCAAATGAAAGTTCACCCAGAAAACAAATGGTGGCAGTTTTATTGAAAAAGATGTTGGTCCCATAAAACTGTCACCCGAAGAACTAGATACCGTAAATTGGCACTGAGTATCACCTGAGGTTCTGAGCAAGGTAACCTTGACTACATCATCCCTATATATACCTTTACAATTTGTTCTGCTAATGTATCTGCCCAAGCGAGACCTGGTAGATGGAAAATCTGCAGCCATTGATCCATTTGGTTTCTCTGAATCAGCATCTTTGGAAGATGAAGAAAATGGTGGGAGAGCACCTTCGACTGCCGCTTGCACGTGTTGGATCATAACCATCTTACTTTCAATGTCATCATTACTGCCATGCAAACCAAACCCTATAGCATCATCACCATTACTGAAGTGATCAGTAAGCTCAATGTGCTTCACTGTTGCTGTAAAATTCATTTCTTGAGGACGTACCTGTTGACCTTATTGAATGTTGAAGTTAGTGTAAGCGAAAGCTATGAAAAGACTGACAAACGTAGGGTATAGCAAGTAAAGCTGAACAGAAACAAAAACAAACTCAAAGCATAACCATTACCTGCAAGACAAGAAGCATATCTTGGAATTTTGCTGCAAGATAATGTGCATATGAACCAACATTTGTCTGATCACCCTTTAGATCACAGGAATGTTGCAGGTCTCCATCGAGGAAGGAAAAAAGCACAGAAATACCAGCAAAAGTTGCCTTCAGATTGGTTTCAACATGATGCTGTTCTGTAAAAGTGAAAATCATAGTTTCACCAACAAATGATATTGAGTATATGATCGTACAGATGATGAGAACCCAACTCAAAAACAAGAATCAGGAAGTTTAACAAAACAATGAATTAAGTCACAGCTAGATTTAAGTCCATGCTCATTTTATAAATGAGAAGTGAGAACCAACAGAAACCTCATTCATAAACATCTATGACTAGTGACAAGATTTAATAATGACGAGTGTTCCGCCCAAGAGCAGGTTGTGTGAGCGGCTTAATCTGTTTGTCCTTATGCACATTTCCCAATGTGTATGAATTTGAGGTTCATGCCAATGACTTTGATAAGGCACATTACAAAATTTGATGACACTGCAGAGCACCTTAAGCACTCCCTAGGGGGGGAAAATCCCGACACATTTTGAAGTACCAATACATGCCCAAACGCTTATGGCTACAATTTAAACCTACAAGGCTAAAAGTCACTCTCCCAAACTGGTAACAACAGGACCTTCTTAACAAAATTAGGAATTAACAAAAGAAATTAAAATTTTCTTTTAGTAAAAGTTCTAAATTATATGCAAACAATGGAGAATCGAAGTCTCACAAACTTATTCACTGCTATGCTATGAAGCACGGGTGCGGGTATGGATACGATATGGGTACACCAATACTGCAAATTCTTAAAAAAGTAATGCACGGGTACGGCCAGGGTACGTCAATTTTTATTTTTTTTTTAGCTAAACATCTAACATACAAATCAAAGTTTCCATATCAAAACTAAAAAGAAAATAACTTGTCTAAAAAGTTATATAATTTTTTTTTCTTTTTTGATTGTCTAAAACAGAATATAAAAGAAAGCAAAACAATGACTCATGAGTAAAGGATGTTGGAAATAAATTACTTGATGATTTTCGAAGTTCAAAGAAGAATAATAAAGGATGTAACATAGCAGCTGCAAAAAAAAATTCACCTAGCCATACACGTGTTGTACCCACGACGTACCCAAACGTATTTGCCATACCCGGCATGTTTTCGCCGTATCCGGTGCTAGTACAGCACCATTTTTGGAGTACCCGTGCCACATAGCTGCTGTGCATCTGGAAAAACTTTGAAACTTGGTCCTTGTGATGTTCGGGATGTCAGGGGTATTTCCCTTGGGGTGGGAGAGATGTTGCATTGTTGATGGGGCGGCAGAGTGGGGAAGCAAACAAGGAGAGCTTGGCTTTTGGCTCATTTTTGCCTTAGGGGTGGACAGAAGTTACAGAACCTTATAACTGTTCAAAATGTCTCAGGAAGGGTGAATCTTGCATTGAGTGTATCAGGTTGTGGGTGCTTGCTATATTTTGTTGCTTTCCTGATATGTCTTAATGCTAACCAATGCATTATTATCTCCAACAATTTGATGCATCCATGCAGAAAAAATTATTATTATTACAATTGAAAATCATCAAATTTCAATTTTCTACCCATGCAGATACACATTTCACCTGTGTTTTTAACCTCACGGATACAACTTAAATTTCAAGATAATATGTACATAGTGCATTATTCCTGTTAATAGTTATTAGCAAGTTATACAGAGGGAATAATTAGCTAAGCACTTTACCGTAGAATTTACAGAAGGATATTAAGGTTAATCTATGCATTCAATTTTTCTCCCTTGCAATTGACTTTATTTCATGCTCATAGAAGAGAGAAACAAAATGTAAGAAATTCAAAACTTATAAAGAAGGTGCATAATAAAATATACATTTCACAAATAATAGCAGGTATTATTTAATTTGTATGTCATATTAGCAAAGATAGAAATAAAATATATTTCCTTGCAGGCCTACAAACCTTAGTTCTAGATACTTTGATTACACTAGTTTTAACATGCCTATAATAGGCGATGGAAGGCATATAACTATGGGTGAAGAAAATACAATTAAAGGAATAAATGCTGGATATGACATTACGTTTCTGAATTGTACAACTGATACTAAAGTTCATACCAGAGGGCATGTGCAAAGATCCAGAAGCAAGGTTGGATGCTGCAGTTATTGCATTGACAACAGAAGATGTCCAGTTCCACATCCCACTGTTTCCTAATGCTGATTGAGAATTTCTCATACCATCGAAACATTCAAAAAACTGCTCTATGCTGCAAATAGATCAATTTCATAGTATAACATAGACATCAGCATAACTTGAAAAATGGTAGATGAACTGCCTTAAATATCAGAAATAAAATATAGGCATAAACACTTCAAAAATTGAAACTGCCAGTTCTCATTCACAAATTTAATGACCTTGACTACTAACAACACTAGATGTAGCAAAAACTACCAACTAGGAAGGGCTAATGCAAATGAATTAGTAGAGAAAATATACCTCACTGATAGTAAAAGAAACAATACAAGATCTATAGAGTTTTGATAAGGTACCATCACACCATAAATTCAAATGAAAAAGTATGCATGGTTCAGTAGTCATTGGATGAAGTGGGTAGAGGCGGGTAGATTGGGAACAGACCTAACTTTCGACAATATTTGCATAAAGTGGCCGCACTCACCCTCGAACCCACAACCTCAAGGTTGACGGGCTGAGTTTTAACCACTGAATCAGTGGCCCCCTGGTTACAACATAAATTCAAATGCAAACTAAATTTATTCATTACTGTTTATAAAGTTCAATACAACATAAATTCAAATGCAAACTAAATTTATTCATTACTGTTTATAAAGTTCAATTGAAAAAATGCAAATATGAAACATATTGGAGCCGTTAGCCCAAAACTGATTTTCACATGCCACTTTAGTAGACAGGGATGAAAGCATGAGAAACTTTAATACGGGATTGAGAGAACAAAAAAGCATACCAACCTGGCCCCAAAATCTGGTTCTTCTTCGGTCCTGTCTTTCTGGTTTTTACTAATAGAGAATGGCACCCAATCTGATATAAGTTGTGACTCTGGTAGCAGGGCATCTGTTCCTGTTTCTTTCCCAATTGAATAACCAAAATCAGTGGACGAACTTTCATTGCATGGCATCACCTTATAAGTAGAATTTACAAAAGAACCTAGCATTGATGGAGATGGTGCATTGAAATAAACAGATTCTGTCATATTGCAATCTGCATGACCCTTGTCATTCTTACCCGAATCTTTAAGAATTTCCCACAAATATAAGAACCATTTTATGGAGCTAGGTTGAAATCTTAATTCTAGAGGATCAATATAAGCATCTGCATCCACTTTGCGGATATCTAATGAACCATTTGTCCAAGGAATACTTAATTTTAGGGTCCCAGAAAATCCACCACCTTCCCCAGTAACAATGGGAGTCCTAGCATTTGATGGACAACATACTGAAAACCGTTCACCGAAAGTTGTTCCTGAAGCACATGGAAGTAGGGTTTGATTGTCAACACCATCCATCTGAAGAAATTCAAGTATTGCTCCTTGAAATTTTACAAAGCTTGTTAATTGATTTAACCCAAGAAAGTTATCAGCTGTAGCATCAGCATTCGAAGCAACCTCTTCAGAAATGCGTGTCCCACTTTCCACCTCAGTAATTCGAAGAACCAAGGTTCTGTGAAACCCTGCATTCTTTTCATTTTGTACTAAAGAGGAATCAAATGCGACAATCAGTTTTTTAACTTTTACACGGAAGCTAGTGAGCAACCATTTCACCATTTTAGCAATGGTTTTAACTCCTTCATGAACATCCACAGAAGTAGACATCATAGAATTCTCCACCTTTTCATGTTCCAGCTTTCCTGAGTCATGGCTCACATTTTGCCTGGGAATACAAGTCTCAGATGAATTAAGCTCCCCACAGGGCGCAAGCACTAGTTCAAGCTCATCCACTTCAATCTCACAACCTTTACCCTTCCAAGGCATTGTGACTAACAGAGAACCAATCGATCCTTCTTTCACAAGAACTGCTGCTGCAGCACCAAACTGAAACAACAGGCATAAGTGAGCACCAAAAGATTCACAGCTATGAGAGAGAGAGAGAGAGAGATTCTAATTCATAGAAACAGAAGCTCACTAAATCATGACAACCTAATCATTAAGTTGTAAACCAACAGATAAGTGATTTTTAGAAGCTCATAAAATGACTAAGTCAAGGTGTGGCAATCCAGCAGGCATCCTTTCATAATTTTTTTTTTTTTTGGTAGGAGAACACAGATTGTTTGACTAAAGTGCATGACTTGGGCCTTAAACAATTGACAACCACTGCTCGTTCTCTTCAAACCAATTCTTTGAAGCATTCCAGTAGTGTTTTTTCTTTCTTCCTTTTCCCCTTCTTTAAATGAATAAGTAACCATTCCAGTGGTGTTCAATGTCATATAAAATACAAACATTAGAAACTTTTAGAATGTGGGGTTTGGAAATACAAGAATGTAAAGGAATTTATTAGTTGAAAGCTTTGAAGCATTGAAATAGTTTTGAAATCATAAATATATAAAGCATACCTATAAAAAAATCATAAATAAAGCAATAACATGAAGCCTATTGGTGTCGAAATCTAGAATAAATTTGGAGAATCAAGTAATTATTAACACTCAACCATTTTGTCATCTGAAGTTGCTTTCCAATCACATTCTACGAAACATTTTATTTTTTCCTCTTTTTTCTGGTAAGAATAAGATGCACTAGAATTCTAGCTCATAAAGAGAGTGAATTGAACTGAACTGAAAAATACTATAATATCAATCCCTACCTTTCATGATCGATATCACAATTACATAGAATAAACAAATACACTCAGAGACTACTTGAACCTAAAAAATGAACCGCCTTTCAGTTTTGTGCCTTGCATGCACTAATTTAGTGAGGCTTAAAGAAGGTGACTTTAATACCAATGTCAATCACAACATAAACTCCAGCCGAGATAAATATCTCACTAATCCCCAGTTCATCCACCACATTGGGCCGTTTACCTTCGGCTTCTCAATCTAAAGCCACATGAAGCTCGGATAAGCCAAAATCACTGGTCCAATCAAACATCCAGGCCTCTCAAACTAAGTCTCCTACACTCTATGAAACCCCCACGACATCCATGCCTATAAAAAACAAATAAAAAATTCTACAAAACGGAAGCCAAGTGCTAAAGAGCGACCTAACACAATGGCAAGTGTTATCCCCCAATCTTGTGGTTGTGGGTTTGTGTCACGGGAATCAACCTACTACCTCTCCCAGCTGCAAGCAGAAGGCTTGTACACTGGGTAGCACCTTTTAATTGTAAAGCTTCTACTCATTTTGGGACACAAATTCCATGCCATTGTATAATTTAAACACCAATTGGATTCTCCAACAACAACAGTAAATACACAAAGTTCAATTCAAAAAAAAAAAAATCAAAATTGAGCTACCCACGAACATTAGCACTGTGAACCAACTAGGGTTGAGCTCAGTTTGCCACGTTGAGAAGTAAGGGGGTCCAATACTTACCACTGACAATTATTGATTATACCTTCCTATTAGGGGCTATTTTTACTTATTTTGTTTCTTGTTTCTTGTATTGATTTTGGGGTGTGTATTGTTGGAATAATCATTATATTAGTAAATAATCTCCAATTGATAGACAAAAAAAAGAAGTTAAAAAGAAGAGTGAATTGAACATAAAAAATAAATTAAAAAAAAAGAAAAGAAAAGAAAAGAAAAGAAAAAGCTTACACCTACACTCTATGAAACCCCCACGACATCCATGCCTATAAAAAACAAATAAAAAATTCTACAAAACGGAAGCCAAGTGCTAAAAGGGCGACCTAACACAATGGCAAGTGTTATCCCCCAATCTTGTGGTTGTGGGTTTGAGTCACGGGAATCAACCTACTACCTCTCCCAGCTGCAAGCAGAAGGCTTGTACACTGGGTAGCACCTTTTAATTGTAAAGCTTCTACTCATTTTGGGACACAAATTCCATGCCATTGATAATTTAAACACCAATTGGATTATCCAACAACAACAGTAAATACACAAAGTTCAATTCAAAAAAAAAAAAAAAAAAAATTCAAAATTGAGCTACCCACGAACATTAGCACTGTGAAGAAACAAGGGTTGAGCTCAGTTTGCCACGTTGAGAAGTAAGGGAGTCCAATACTTACCACTGACAGTTATTGATTATACCTTCCTAGTAGGGGCTATTTTTACTTAATTTGTTTCTTGTTTCTCGTATTGATTTTGGGGTATGCATTGTTGGAATAATCATGATATTTGTAAATAATCTCCAATTGATAGACAAAAAAAGAAGTTAAAAAGAAGAGTGAATTGAAAACAAGAAAAAGAAAAGAAAAAAAGAAAAAGCTTACACCTTCTGATTGAGATAGTCGACGTTGAGAGCGAGATCGGACAGCTGAATAGTGCCGGCGCTGAGCTGCACATCGAGCTGGTTGAGATCGATGTCGCCGAGAATCAATTGCCCTAATTTCTTCTTCAACAAGAACTTGCACACCCTCTTTATCGCCCACCGAGAGAACATCGCCTCCGCCGATTTGGCGATGTTCCACTGAAACATCTTCGCTATCTCTCTCTCTTCAATTTCCCACAATCCTAATTTCAGGGGTTCTATCTGCGAATTAGGGTTTTGCCAAACACAACCTCAACTTGCTCGAGATGGAAGCTCGCACCTCCATCCACAAACAAAGGAGAGAGAGAGAGACTGATCTCGTTCGAGATACAGAAATTATGTATGTATATGGCTCCAATTTTTAGAGAGAGAAATAATTTAGGAGAGAGAGACGATGAATTGAGGTCTGGTTTGGGATTGTGTTTACGTGTTTGAGTTTGTTTGAGATTGTATTGTTGTTGATGTTTTCTTATTACATTATTAACGGTAATTAAATAATAATTAAAACGCTATTTAGAATGAAACATTAACATACTGTAATTTTTTTTTTAATTCATGCTAAATAAATATCAAAACGAAGAATTGCAATATAAAAAGGTGTGCTGGAAAGACTCTGTACCTTCGTAATGTCCGAGTCTGTGTCGTATTCGTTGTGATGATTGTGTTCGACCCAACTTGCTACAGAACATGGGGTGACGAGGGTCGTCGGTTGCGTCAAACCCCACGTGTAAAATGGTTTGGAAGCCTCGTTTGCCTTTGGTTTTTTAAGTTATTAAAATATTTTATTCTTTGTCACATATTAAAAAAATTCAAATTATTTTTTGGACAAATTACATATACAGTTCGAGATTTAACAAAATTAAAGATATCTCCCTTAAGTTTGAGAAATTACATATACCCCCTAAAAGTATTATTTGCATAACAAATTAGGAGGCAAAATTACATATTTTTTTTCTCAGCATTATGTTGCCGTCCAATTAGATGATAACAAAAAATTAATTTGGGCCACTTGTGAAGTGCTTCTTCAGTGATACATTGTTATACAAATGGGATTACTCCAGTGTCATGTTGCCAAACTATAATAGAATTGTCTAAGCCCCTGTCGCTGTACATTGAAATATTTACTTTTTCCTCGAAGCATTCATAAAAAAATTCATAAATCAAACACGCATCCATAAAATCATACATAAAAAGTATTCATAAAATTATTCATAAAAACATCAAGTGTACGAATATTCATAAAATATCCATAAAATTTGTCATTGTTTGCATCCATAAATCAAACATGTTATTACAATTCGTCTTGGTAATTTGTAGATAATTTTCCCCCTAATAGAAATAGATATCTACACTTTTTAGAATCTGTCAACCTCAATTGTTCCCCATTGATATTCCTGTTGTCTCTATAGTAAGCAAGTATAAGTCTTGGTTTTCTGTCATTACCTCTCGCATCTAATGTCTGTATAACAATGACAAATCTAGTCTTCTTCCCAACATCAGAAGCCCATTTAATTAATACTTCACGACTACTAAAAATCTATAGATAAAAAATACATTTTTACATCAAATTATTAATAAAACTCTATACAAATTAAAAAAAAAATCGTATTCATAAAAAAAAAAATAACAAACCTCGTCTGTAATAAATTCATGACTAGAGTCCATTAATATTGTAGTACTTGTGATGTTGCAATGAGTATAAGTATAATCCTTCCAGGCAAAAAAATAAAAATATATAAAAAAAAATGAAACTGAAAATACATGGTAATGAGAAGCCGAACAAATTAAAAAAATTCAGTTTGCGGTTACCGAAAATGTATCTTTTATTCCATAGTTGGTTACCAGACTTATATTTTTTGTTCGACAATGTGATGCCGGACTATTTTATTTTGTTGGATTTCGAACCACCGAACAAAAATCGAATACCAGTCAAGAAAAACGAAACAAAAACCTACCAAATAAATAAATAAACTCACAATTTTACTTTTTAATAGTTCTTCACCACCGTTTCTTCATCCATTGTTTTCCTTAATGATCAAAATACTATGATTCTCACTTTTTGAAAAGAAATGTGTAAGAGAAAAGAAAAATTAAGAAAGAAAAAAGAGGAGTAGGGATTGAAGACCAAGGGGTGTAAGGAGATAACAAAATATATTTAATTTTATTATTTTGTCCTTAAACGTAATTTCACATATGAATAAAATTAAGAGGAAAAAAAACTCATATGAAAAATGTAAAGAGGTAAAATAATAGTGTAAATAGAATCACCGTTTTATTAATCGTGTTCTTAAATCCAAAACAAATCAATTGTTGGACTTCATGCCATATACACCCATAAAAAGTAGACTTACCACCCATTTTTTTTCAAAATTGAATGCTTACTTTTTCTAATATGAAAAGTTGCTTGGTATTTACTGAAATTTAAATGTTACATTTAATCAAGTTATTTGATACTCAAATTTTAAAAAAAAAAAAATAAAAATAAAAAAATAAGAATTTGAAAATTTTAATTTTTCTCTTATGCCTTTTATATCTATTAAGACACCTCAAAATATATGTACTTAATTTTTTTAAAAAAAATATGTAATTATAACATTTTCTGGGCTATTTTAGAATATAGGGAACCTGTGCATAGCTTTCAAGAAACCTCATAAGAAGCGTGGTGCCACATGGTACCATATGGTGTGCTGCATAGTGCAATATAGTACTGCATAGTAAGGGTTTTCTTACCTATAAATAGGTGAGTTGTATGGTAATAAAATCACGAGAATAACAAACGAGGAATATATGTGAGAGTGAGCCAAAATCAGAAGTGAGAGTAAAGGATCAAGTTTGAGGTGAGTTTTATTATATTTTGAGTTATCATAAACTGTTTATGTAAATTATGTTTTACAAATCATATTGTGTGTGTTTGGTTTGAGTTTTTTGGATTAAGTTTTTTTTAAATAAAGCTTTTTGTTTTTTGTGTTTTGTTATTTTTAGTGAATATTTTTAAAATTTTAAGCATTGTTTTTTACTTTTTTAGATGCACCTTACTTAGATGTATCTAAAAAGTATAAAAAAAATTGTGAAAAAATATTTTAAAAAATTAATAAATGTATAAAAATACGAAAAATATATTGAATTCTTGTTTTTTTTTTTTTTTTGTATTTTTGGTATTTAGTGACTTTTTAAAAAAAAAAATTTCACAAAAATTATACTTTTTATGTGTATTTATGTTAGGTGTGTCTAAAAATTAAAAAAATTGCATAAAATATTAAAAAATTCAATAAAAATAAATAAATACAAAAAATAAGAAAAGTAGAATTTTCTGAATAGTATTTTTGGAAAACCAAAAACAAGGAAGCTGATTAGTTTTTAAAGTATGTAATTTGTTAAATGAACCCTATTTGCTTAAAAGAAGAAACTCATGGATACAACTGTTTATTAAATGTGTTTTTGAACAATTATTTTGTAAATACCACCATAGAGGTCTCATGCCTTGGGAGACGTTAAATAACCATTAGCCATCTGAATTGTCACTTTATGTGACCCTCTGTTTTGTTCTGTTGTCACTTTAAGTGACCCTCTGTTGTCATGGATCCACTGATCCTCTGATTTCTAGTGTGGAGCAAGTGTTGTGCGGAACTAGGTGCTACACTATTGTGAGAGTCACTTCTAAAATTTGTACGAGCCACCTTTTGAATCCATACATATGTTATGCTCTATATCGTGGTTATGATTATTTTATTTATATGATTTCTGTATTATATATCTGTTATTCAAAATGATTTTCGTATTATATACTCTGTATTTCAATATCAAACAAATCTCTATTCAGCCAAATAATTATCTATGGTAATTTTTATACCCTTTACGCTCTCAGTATAATATTTATCACTCTGTCATGTGCTTATAGTTGTTAACCACTTTCAAGTGACATGTCAGGACCTGTGTGTAGGATAGGCGCAAATCATTTTGTAGTTATAGTTTAGCTCTAGCAATGTAAATCAATAGAAACTCCAATGTATATGTTATAATTAAGATTTGGGTACCCTTTTATTTGACCCAGCTGCACTATTAATTTGTTATGACTTCAGTTATTATCTTGTTGCGACGCTGAACCTCCGGGTATCGGGTTTGGGTCGTGACATCTGTGGTAGTGGTTTGGTATTCGCATAGTGGTGTTAATGGTGGTAATGTAGTGGAATGCGAGTAATGGCATCAAGGACAATGATTGTGTAGTGGTATGATAGTTGTGGTGATAGTGATAGTATTAATGGTATGCAATAATTGTGTAGTGGTATGACAGTTGTAGTGATGGCGGTAGTATTAATGATGTGTAATTGAAGTGGTAGGATTGTAATGGTGGTAGTTGTGTAAGGTAAGATAGATGTGGTGGTAGTTTATGGAAATGGATGTTTATATCCATTTTCCATCATGAAGATGAATGAGCCTTCTAACAATTGTTAAGAGGTTTCATTGATTGTATAGGTTACCATTTATTTTTCTATCTTTTTCTCCTATTTTCTCATCACTTTCTTTTTCATTTTCTTGGAAGCCATAGAAATAAATGGTAATCTATTCTCTATGTCTATCCTTTGACATGAACTTAAGCATTATTTTGCATTTTCTTCATGAAGAGGGGTATAGATTCCATCATTAATTTTTCTTTGATTCTAAATTCTTTTAGTTGCTTCTATGATCATCATGTGATAGTTCATATCACTTGATGATCAAAGAAGCCTTTCTATCTTTTCATGATTACTTCAATGATGGGAGTGATGAATTGTGTTTTAGTTAATTGATTGTTGCTATTCTTTCTCACCTCTTTGTGATTGAGAATGAAATTATGTATTGCAAATATTGGAAAGTTTTCATGGCTTAAATGGATCTCATTCTCTCATTATTTATGGTGATTGATGATGAATTCATCATGTCTAATTTCAAGTAATGCTTGACTAGAATTTAGTGTTTCTTTCTTACAAACCCTATGTTAGAGAAGCACTTTGGCTCATTTTTTTAATTTTGTTTCTTAGCTTCTTTTGATTTGTACCTTCTATATTTTCATTCGGTAACTTTGTTAGTACAATTAATTCATTCTTGATAGCTTCTCTTTTTGTTAATGAATATTGTTATTCATGCCAAAAAATTAGACTCAATTTTTAGACCAAATGATGTGGCACTTTATTAAACTATCTAAGTCAACTCTCTCTCTCTCTCTTACATGCGCGCGCGCGCACACACACACACACACACTCACACTATAGACACCCTATTTTTGACCAACCTTAAGACTCAGACGTCATCGATTGAGCGCTCGGTGATAGTGCATGTTGTGTTCGTTTCGAGTTTCCGGAGTTTTAGCTGAGAGCCTTGCCTCTGGGCCTCTGAACTCTTTGTGCTTTGGCTCGGTTTGTGAACCAAGCCTTGTTTCTCTTCCCTGGAGGGAGGGAGTGGTCTTGTAAACCCCCTCTTTGTGGTCAT